GATATTGTTCCCAATTCTCTAAGCTTTTACATTTAAAGTAATTTTTATAACAAAACTTCTTATACTTTATCTTTTCTTGCACATTATTATTCCACCACCAACTTTTTTTATTTATAAAAACTTTTTCTTTTGATTCTCCAAACACTCTTTTGCGACTTGTTTAATAGTGTTTGTTATTTTATCCCACATAACATTTTCTCTTCATTAACATCCCAAAATTTGAACTCTTGAATTTTACTCATAATTTTACTCATAAAAATTGAATTTTACTCATAAAAATAATTTTATTTGTCTTTTAAATAACTCCATCTAATTCTACGATGATGAATCCTAATATTTTTTATTTTACAACTCTTAATCTTAAAATCTAGAACTAATAAACGATGTTGGGTACTTACAATGTTGAGTACTTAAATTCTCACTTGAAATGACTTTACAATATTTACAATATTGACGATCTCTTCTTCTCATAAGAAAATAATCAATTTGTGTTATATTAGAGTCACTCTTATAAGTAATAAGATACTCATCTCTTTTCTTGAATAAAGTATTAGTAATAGTAAAATCATACGCTAAAGCAAAATCTAAAATAGCAGCAAAATCTAAAATAACTTTACCTTCTTCATTAGTTACTCCAAAACCGTAGCCACCATGAATATTTCTGAAATCTTCTACCACTCTACCGACATGTCCATTTAAGTCTCCTCCAATAAAAATTCTTTCTTCAAGAGGTATCATTTGTATTAAGTCTTCTAAGTCATTCCAAAATTTATCTTTAGACTCTGTATCTAAACCTATTTGAGGAGCAGCACTTCTTATAATATTAAAAATCTTAGTATCAATGATAATCTTAAGGGCTATAATTCTATCACCAACTCTATTAATTTTCACAACATTATCTTTCAAACTCCTATCAATAATTACACCTACATCATTTCTAGTGCGACTCTTACCACAATACCAAAGTTTAAAACCTAGAAATGAAAAATATGGTAGGGGGTTTTACAATGAATTTTGATATTTGAGTCAGAATGAGAAAAATGAATGAAGGAGGGTCATTGATTTGTAAGTAGCAAGTTCAGTGTGGTGTGTATGTAATTGGCCCAATAAAAAAAATGAATTCATTATATTGTGATTATTTAGTTGGAAAATAATGATAAGTTTTGTAACTATAGAGCTAATATGGTTTTTTTTTTAAAAAGTTGCCAAAAACTTGTCGAATAATTCATTATTTTGTTGTATGGCATATATTGATGGCCTCAAACACTTGATGGGCGTACTTTTATTGGGATTGTTGTAAATCTGTAAATTTTGCAATGGTGAAAGATAGCCACTCCCATCTTTTCTTTGGATGTACGCTTTGTGTTGTTGAATTAAGAATCTCCTACATTGTGGTAACTTCCTCCAAATTTCCTTTAGGTTCTCTACCTATAATGAGTAGCAAACAATTATTTAGACTTCTTTTGCTTATTACTTTGATTTTGGTCTGTTTTATCTGTGGAGAGAGAAATAATAGATGGTTTAATAATAATATTACTTGTCTGACTACTATTGTAGTAATTAACCTTTAGGTTGCTCATTGTTTATTCAAAAAATGATTTTTTAAGCAACATGAAATCTTACTTCATGACTAATGAGCTTAATGGATTGAACCCATCAATTGTGTATTTAGTGGTTTGATGCTCATTATATCAATTATAGTTTTTAGATGAAAGTTTGAAAATAACAAGTTGCAGGGCTCCTTAGTGTCCATAAGGATTTTGCGAATACCTCTAAAATACGTCATCATTCAAATTAGTTTCTCAGAATTAATCTACCCCATTTTGATCTTCAAGCAAGCTATTCCAACCAAATTCTTATACATTACATGAGTTCCTATTCTATACTTATACAAGTTTGTTGGATCTTCTCGCCAAACTCGTTGACAACTACCTACTTACATCACTAAGCATGAATCATGGATGGTAAACGGATGGGCCCCTCCATCGGGTCCTGTTGTACCATCACGTTCTTTCCTTTCAGTGATGTGTTATCTTTGGTGGCCACCCTTAGTAGTGAGGGCAGCCTTTTCTTTTCCTGTCAATTGACGAAATTCATTAAAGGCCCCTCGTAATCCATGCCGACTTGGTAAAATTCCATGTCAAAATCTATAGTACCGCCCTGCAACGCCATTTCTTTATTTAGTGCAAGATTCCAACCATCTTTAAAGGCAAAGATCAGCCTCTGGCCTGACATTTCTCTACAGAAGACAGAAAAAATATCAGTGGATTGAAACTTAGCGTGAACAAGAACAAACCAAGGTATTTATTAAAGGAAATTTTTATTTATTTTGGTGAGTCAGTGGATTGAAACTTAGCGTGAACAAGAACAAAACAAGGAATTTATTAAAGGAAATTTTTATTTATTTTGGTGAAGAGATCATTTATTTATGTATGAATTTTAATTAAATTAGTAGTATATTAAGTTTGAAAAAAGGAGATTGAGGTGTGCAATTTTCAAAAAAAAAAAACTCTTTTTTTTTAATATGTTGAGGTTAATTTTGTTACAAAAATTTTGGATCCGGTCACAGACTTTTGGCCACATTGCTAACCCCAAAACAATCAAAATTTCAAAAATTTAAATCAATCAAAGGCAAGCAGTATCAAGTTGCGTATTATGTCTTCAGGTATCATCCGTTGATTGGCAGCATGGGTCTTTCACCCCTGAAGTCCACTAACCGGTAGGCTCCTCCTGCGTAAACCTTTTCAACCACAAATGGTTCCTTCCAGGTTGGCT